TAAAATGAATACATATTTTTGTGTTTTTTTAAAGAAACCAAAATTCCAAAATTGTCACTATAGTTCCCTTTATGCCAGACATAAGACAAGAACATCTAGGCTGGTTTCAAACTCCTGCAATTCTCCTGCCTCAGCCTCCCCAGTGCTTGGATTACAAAAAAAAAAAAGAGCGGCAAAGATGAAGCTAACTGCCAAGGCCCTTGCAAGGTTTAGATCCTGAAATCCTCTGTTGTCAGAGCCAAATTCATATATATATTTTCTCATTCTCTCTCTCTCTCTCTCTCTCTCTCTCTCTCTCTCCCCCCTCTCTCCCTCTCCCTCTCTCCCCTTCCTTTTGTAACTACAAGCTTAACTCCCCTTCCATCCTTCAGTAATAGTCAAAAGAAATCCACTAGCAATTGTCTCAGATTTTCTCAAGCATTTTTAGTTTTTACAAGTATAAACAGCATTATCGAAGTACATAAAATAGGGTTTGAGGTGTAGCTCAGTTGCTAGTGTTTGTTCAGCACTCACAGAGCCCTGGGTTCAATCCCCAGCGCCTATAACCCATGTGTGGTGGCACAGGGCTGTAATCCCAGCCTCTGAGAGATATAGGCAGCAGGTTCAGAAGGTCAAGATCATCCTAGGCTACTTAGTGAGTTCCAGGACAGCCTGGGCTACATGAGACTGACTCACACAGGTTAATAAACAACCAAAAACCCATCAAATATTACAAAATAATAAATGTAAGAAGTCTTTAAAAAAACAAAGTTAGGCTGGATGCAGTGATGCACTCCTTAAACCTCAGCACCCAGTAGGCAGAAGCAGGTGATCTCTGGGAGTTTGAGGCCAGCCTGGTCCATAGTTCTAGGATAGCCAGGGCTACATAGAGACCCTGGCTCAAAAAACAAACACTCCAAGTTAAACTGCATTTTAAGCCATTTTTAAAGTATATATGTATGCATTTTTGAGATAGAGTCTCACTCCTGCCTGACCTCTGTGTGTGTGTGAGAAAGAGAGAGTTTGTGTGTGCGTGTGTATATGTATGGACTTACCATGTATGATACATGTAAAGGTCAGAGGACAACTTGTGGGAGTCGTTTTTTTCCTGCCATGTGAGTTCTGGAGGTCAAACTCAAGTTGTCAGACCTGGTTGGCTCTTTTACCCACTGAGCTATCTAGACAATATTTAAATCTTTGTACGTCCAGGATTAGTACGAGTTCTATAAATTAGCAAGAAAGTAGTGGGGATGCAGTGGGGCTGACAGGTTCTAGACACAAAGCAAGGGGGCAGCCAAGCCCAGGGCCAGTGCCCGCAGCCGGCAGTCTGTACACCGTAGAGCCTTAGCTTCCTAACCGACCCGTCTTTCTGGATTCTCCGCTACTGACTTGGTCTGGAAATAAGACTTTATGTGCCAAGGTTAAGACTGTGGCTAGAGGTACTGAACTCTCTTTGTTAAGGTGAGAGACTAAACTCACCCAAGGTATTCCCACACCCCTGACCCTGAATGGGAGACAATCAATGTCCTTAGTTATCGAAGAAAACACAAAGACTTCAATAGTGTCAAGTGTTTGTGCATCCTGAAGGCCACAGGCCCCAGGAGACCACAAAGCTAATGGCTTGCTAACTTTCCTGCACTGCTGGGATGATGAAAGCACCAACATCTGCCTCTAGTTCCCTCACCTTGCATCTGACCGTCCGTCCGTCGGGAGGAACTTGGCTAAGTGATTCAGGAAATCTCCCAAGAGGAAAGCAAACGATTTTCAAAAGTGTAACTAGAGGCCGCATGGTGTCAACCTCCTTTCCCTTCTAGGTCAATACTGAAATTTTATCCCCAGTTTAGACCTCAGTCTTTGAGCACAGCTCTTAGGGTGGTGTATTGTATACCTAGAAATTGGGATGTGTGACCCATTTTCTCACACAGGACCTCATGTAATAGGACAGCCTCTTAACATAAAAACATGGAGGAGCCTTCCTCTAATGGGAAATAAGTGTGGCTCATGTATTGCTACCAATTTTTCCATCGCTATAGTCCCAAACCACAAGATCTAAGACAAGACATGCAGACCCATGGTTAGATTATAAAAGGCTGTTTATATCTAGTATTGATAAATAAGGCCCAGGCAGGACAAAGGCAAAGAATGCAAAGGAAACAGATCCTTAGGAAGCCTCCCCTTTCAGAGTTTCTAAGGGCTCACAGCACTGCCCCAGGCTCTTCTGCTAAACAGCTTTTACAGCTCTAATGAACCCGAGTGGGTGGGACATATTTACTTCTGCTTTACATGTTATTGCTGTTAGCAGCAGCTCTTTTCCCTCTTGTGCTTGGTGCTTAACCTGCACAATTAGCGCCTTATTACAGCCCTAATTACCAAGCAGCTCAATTGAATACTTCATTTTACTATCTGGTTCATGTACTAGCTCAAGGGCCTCGACTCCTCAGCTATAGTAAATCCTAAACTTCTTTTAAGCAAATGCCCAATTCTTCATGTTTTTCGGTCCATGCGAACTTCAGGTATTCAAAGGCATTAGGAAACTTCCTGAGTGTTCGGCCAGAGAGCTGCCGAGTGGCACGCACATCATACATTCAACTCTTCCCTTCATTCCCGATACACCAGAGTCTGCTCTGGAGGGCTCTCAGCTATTTGGAGTTTAGCTTTATTTTGTACATAACTTTTCCCTTTATCTGATAAAGTGAACTAAACAGGGACAGGACTTAATCACATTCTATGTTCTTCTAGAAAGAGGATTCAAGAGAAGTGAATTCATGCTAGAACATCCATCCTTGCTTTTAAAACTAAATCTGTGACCTAGGAATGGAACTCAATGACAGAATGTTTTCCCAGGACTCATGAGCCTCCGGCACCACCTTCAGAAATTGAGCAGTATTTTATAGGATAGTTACCAGCCCCGTATCATGGGCATTCTGCTTTAGGTCCCCTGGTAGATGACGCAGAGCTTGTGAGAAGCTATAGAAGGTGACGTTTGGGAGCCACAAAGCCTCCACTCAAATCCCGCCTCTGCTACATATTAGTCATGTGCTCTGTGACTTTGCTCAGACACTTATGCCTTCTGTGCCTCTGTTTCCAAAACTGTAGAATTGCCCTCATTAAGGCTATTTTGAGAACTGAATCTTTGTAAAGTTCTTGGCGTACAATAAGCACCACACAGTGTCATAGAAAGTTAATAGAGCACAAGGTTATTATAAAAGACACAGCAACAAAAACGACATGAAACAAAAACAAACAAACAAACAAAAAACCCCAATGGAAGAGGAAAAGCAAACTGGTATGACACAGTATAATGTGCCATCCCTGGTGGTTTCTTTTTCCTGGTTCTAATATGTTCTTTGAATTGCTTCAATAAATAAGAACTATGAGTTACAAGGTTTAAGGACATCTAATGCACTCAATGAATATGAAAATGCTCTGGCAGCACATAGGAAACATAACTAGCGAGGGCAGCAGAGTTCCAGAAGAGAATATGAACTCCACTGTTCATGTTTCTTGAGGTCTTCTGAACCTAATACCAGGTATTACTCAGAAAATTAGTCACTAGATAGATAACGCTGACTTTCTTTTCTGACTTTCCAATCTTCACCACCATCTCCCCACCCCACTATATACTATTAAAATGGGATCTTTTCCAGTAATCTCTAGCAGATACCCTAATAGCAGGAGTTCTTTGCTATTTCACCAGTTCCTCACACAGAATCTAGTTGTCCAACCAAACAGGTCTAGGTACTATTTCAAGGCTGATATCTGTTCCTCCACAAAAGGAAAAAACCCTCTGGCTCCACCTTTCCCAGTTACCCTAGAGGGCAAAGTCCAACCCTACAGGAAGCCTTCTAGGAGCACCTGTAGTATTATGTATGGACACAGGAAATTCATGTCTAGTCTATCAAGAAAAGACTATCATTTGAGAGGTCAGCAGTTAACAGTTAGTATCTAGGAATATAGTCAGGCACTTCCTGTTACTTGCAATCTCAGTATAGTCAGCAATCCACTATGACAACTCTAATCACCATGCTCTGTGGCTATGCTTACAAGAGCCTTCCTTTTTACCCTGGAAAACTATGGTCAGAAGTTCTACTTACTTGTTTAATTGGCTGTGGAGCCGTAAGAGAAGAAAAGTCTCCCCCTCCCCCACCCCTGGGGAGAGGGGAGTGTCTGAGACAGAATCTCACTATGTAACTTGGGCTGTCCTTGAACTCACTATGTACAGCAGGCTGACCTCGAACTCAGAGATCTGCCTACACACAAACGCTGGGATTAAAGGTGTAGGGTGGACAGCATACTTTATTTCTTGATGATTTAGCTGAAGGGTTACTTTTGTCAAAAATAGAACATCGGGTAAGTTAAGTCTCTACCAACTCTCCCCCCCCCCCTTTGCCCCGGGGCCGGTTTAAAATTTGGTTCATATCCTCTCTCTTCCTTCACTATGACCCCAGCTTCACCTTGCAGGCATCCTTTCTGGATAACCTAAGTCCCATATCCTCTCAGGGTCGGTTTTCTTTCATGCAGCTGTCCATCTTCCCCGGCGATCCCTTCCATCCAGGCATCCCGAAGAGCAAGACACTCTCCCTACTCTCTTTGGGACAGTACTCCAGCAACCGCACCGGGCAAGGGTAACTTGCAAAGCTCTGGGTCATTATTTGATGATGGGCAGCAGGGGAGGGAAGGATAAGGGAAGACACGACAGAGAAAGATGGATCCCTGGAGTGGAAGGAGGGGTGATCAAATTGAGAACACTGGCGCCTCACTCCTGGTGCAGACCCTTCCCGACCAGTGACCTAACGAGGGATCCGTGGTCTCTTCTCTTCTGCCATCCTAGGGACCACCTAGAAGGGGGTTGAGGAGATGGTCCCTTATGGGCAGCACAACTTCCGCCTTCCTGAGGTGTCTCACGTGCGCGCGCTCGGCTACTTCGACTCCGGCCCGAGCGCTCGGGTTGCGCGCTTCTCATCGAGTCCCGGCTGGGGCCCCGCGCCTCCCTCCTTCTAGGGCTTCCCCACCGCACTGACCGTCAATCTGGAGGCAGCTCGCAGTCCCGCGCCGCCTGCTGCTGCCCCGGGGCCCAGCCTCCAGCGTCCGCGATGGCTCGGGCACCGGGCGCCACGGCTTGCCGGACTCGGCCTCACACGGGGCGGTGCGAAGGAGAGGCCCATGGAGCTCCAGGCGGTGGCGGCAGCCGCGGCTGCGGGAGCGGCCACCGCGCGGGCTGATGACGCGCAGGCGCGGTGGGGAGAGGCGCGCGCTGATGACGCGCCAGTGCGCGCAGTGAGCTGAGCAGCATGGCGTCGGTGGCGCTAAGCGAGGCCGAGAAGGTCTACATCGTTCATGGAGTGCAGGTAGCGGCGTCGGCCGTGGGTGCATGCCATGTTGTGCAGGGAGGAAGTGCGGGGCGGCCACGTGGTCAGGAAGGACGGACGGAGACTTAGTGCTGCAGCGAGCGTGCGTCCAGTACGCCTAGATCTCCACAACTCTCGGGATGGAGGAGATTCCTAGCTCATCAGGGAACGGCGGGCGGCTCCTGAGGCTGCAGTTTAATGAAGAAATGTCCTTGTGGCCTCTGCACGCGCTGAGAGTGCTGTGCCAGAGATCCTGTAATCAGAATCGTGGCACGTGGATGAACTCTGACTTTGCACATAGAGGCCGTGAATCCGGGGAGGGAAAGGACTTCAAAACATATACTGACAGCATACACCACACACCACACACACCCTAAAAAGAGGAAAGAAGGAAATGCGGCTCAGTAGTAGAGCGCTTGCTTAGCATGCGCAAGGCCTTGGTGGCTGGCACCTGTAATCCCGGCATTTGGGAAGTGGAGACAAGAGAATCAGGAGTTTAAGGCCAGACTGAGCTATAAAGACCTAGTCTCAAAAAAAAAAAATCACCCTCACACAATATTGCTTACAAATAGAGAAGAATGGGGAGTGTTTTTCTTTCGGCGGTGCTGGAGATTAAACCTTGTGCATGCTAGGCAGGCATTCTATCACGGAGCCGCATTCCCAGCCCTTCTCTTTTGTTTGGTGTGTGTGTGTGTGTGTGTGTGTGTGTGTGTGTGTGTGTGTGTGTG